TGAGCTGTTACAGCATCCTGTGGCCACGTAAAATATCAAATAGTGATAAAATGAACAAAATTTAGAAAATAGTAATTTCTTTTTTAAGAGATTCCTGATTTCATAGTCATGCATACAAATAGGGACAGACATACATTTAAGAGATACCAGAAGTCTGAGAATGGCTGCGTGCTATTTATTGGGCTCTGGATTTGGTGACATTTGTGCTGTGGAATAAAAATCATCAGTATGAAGTCAGGTTTCAGTGTGGTTCCCAAATTGTGGTGTCTGTTATTGAAAGACACATATCATCATTTCCCCTTTAGGACCATTTAGGAGATGATAGCTCATTTAGAAGTCTTGTTCCCATGATAATACCTATTTATTAGCATATAACCTTAAAGATTAATATGGATATGTCTATTTATTAGATATAAGGACATATCCAAGTATTTAACCATATATTAAACCAACATAAATGATAACAAATGCCTCTACTGTCTTTAAGTCAGATTTCTGCTAACTGGAGTATTTGAACTAATGCTTCATAGATTTGTTTTGACTTCTTGAAAAATCTGGCATGGACAGGTAAGAAGAGCATTATTTACCCACAGCAAGTTGTGGAGGGGACTATCAGAAGCAAACAGATGGACAGAAGACTATCAGCAGCACCTTTAGATAGAACCAAGGAGTGAAAGAAACATTAACACAACTGGTTGAAAGAAATTAGTTGTTTGGTATCATTGGTGCTGACTTACATGACTTATTGGACTTTGAGTGGGATTTGAAGTCTGTTTGTATTTCATGCACTGTCTTTTAACACAAGTGTTAAAATTCATCCAATCCCATTGTATCATTCCTGTGAATTCTACTGCAGTGTATCTCCTACTGTTATTTTTCTCTAGCTGTTATTGCATGCTTTATTTTTCTGGCATAGTCCTAAGCTCCTGGAAAATTGGGGCATTTCATTAGCTCATTTTGTTCAGTAACACTTAAAGCAATGTCATGCACAACTTGAGTTCCCTGTGAATACACATCCAGTAAGGAGGTTTACAACAGACTGTGAGGCAGGATTCTGAAGTTTTCCTGCCCACTTCTATGCCCAATGCACTGAAGACTGAAAGGGAAGAACTATGTAGAGACAGAGGTAGTGCATGTTTGCATCATGTACTAATGTTTCTGTCTCCATCTTAGCAGTAATAATGTAAGTTATTTTGTATGAAGTCAGATGTATTTCATCAACCAAGGCCTCTGACTTGTCTATCTTCTATTGTAAATTTAGATTTAAAAATAAGAATTTATTTCACATTACTTTATTCAGAAGAACTAAGTGAATTCACACATATACACACACAAACACATTCACACACAAATGCATGTACACAGAGTACATATTTAAGTGTTTGTTAATAGAAAATCATTTTTAATATCAGCAGTAGGCTAATTTAAGTTTATTTTATTATATATAATAAAGATCTGAAACAATAATGCACTTTAAAAAGAGATTCATGAATTAAAAATTCCTTTAGTTGTATTGACCATTGGTAAAGCTTACATGAACATAGCAGATGATATTGCTGTCTCAAACATTGATTCTAAAATGCAGCTACTTCAAGGTCCAAATCAGGAGCAGAAGGAGGGAGAGCACGAGCAAGGAACTCAGGACCGCGAGGGGTGCACCCATACACTGAGACAATGGGGATGTTCTATTGGGAACTCAACAAGGCCAGCTGGACTGGGTCTGAAAAAGCCTGGGTTAAAACCGGTCTCGCTGAACATAGCAGACAATGAGGATTACTGAGACCTCAAGAACAATGGCAATGGGTTTTTGATCCTACTGCACATATTGGTTCTGTGGGAGCCTAGGCAGTTTCGTGGATGCTAACCTTACTAGACCTGGATGGAAGTGAGTGGTCCTTGGACTTCCCACAGGGCAGGGAACCCTGATTGCTCTTTGGGCTGATGAGGGAGTAAATAGATAAATAAATAAATAAATAAATAAATAAATAAATAAATAAATAAATAAATAAATAAAATGCAGCTACTTGAACATCCAGACCTTGATGTTGGGACTTTGATCGGTACCCCTGCCTTATGTAGCTGATTGCCTTCATCAGCTAAAGTTAGCGTGTATCTATCCTGCAATTCTGGTTCTACATAGACAGGTGGACAGAAACAGTGTCACTATTTTGCCAGCACACAGAAGTCTCCAGCAGAGGTGTGATTTTAGAAAATAAAGATTATAGACAATAATCCAGATCCATATCTGAAGTCTTATTTAACTCTTTTAGAAACTGAAGATTATAGACAATGATCCAAATCTATACCTCAAATTTTGTTTAACATTTTTAGAAACTGAAGATTATAGACAATGATCCAAATCTATACCTCAAATTTTGTTTAACATTTTTAGAAACTGAAGATTATAGACAATGATCCAAGTCCATACCTCAAATTTTTTTTATTTTTTTTCTCAAATTTTGTTTAACTAATACGTTAACATTTAATATTCCAGTGTATTTTGATAACTTTTTATATAATTTCACACTTTCTTGACATCTATTAAGCATATATTCTCTTATACATTTCACTTTAGATCCACCTGGTCCACTGAAGCAGTTAATACACAAAACAGGGGGAGGTAAGTTATGGTTTGAATACATATATGTATATAAATTTCTTAAATAAAAGATTCAGGACTCAAAAATGATACTCTGAGTTTTTAAATAGACTTGTTCAGTTTTAAAACTTTTAACAATTTCAAGTGATATGATCAGTTTTATATTTGTTAAAACATTAGAAGCACAAATGGAACAAAAAAGCACAATCAACATAGGAGCACAAATATCAGAAAAAAAATAGCTGAACAAAAGCCTTAGTTCTTGTCTCTGGTTCATATTTGATTGGTAAGTCATTGATAGACCATCGATTTTCTGGGAAAACAAATTAATTTGTCATCATTATTATGACACACAAAATGAAATAGTTTTATGAATATTAATAAACACATTAAGCAAAATAAATTGAAGTTTCCTTTCAGTACAGTTCAAGGTCATTTTCATATAAGGTTAATATATAAGTATTTTCAATACAGAACCAAAAAATGTTTCTCTCTTAAGCATATATAAGAAGGGATATTGCCATGAGACATTTAATTATTTACACTTCTTTCCTCTTCCCATATAAATGGCTGCACATACTAAATGTTTTACAGTTTCTCTTATGAAAATATTTAAACAGAATTTTAATTTATATTTTTATTAATTAAATCTGCACTTTGAACGGTTTGCACATGTATTTAGCACATCACATTCTGTCTGTTCTCTTTCCATACTATATACCTAGAAATAATATTGCTGCAGAAAATCGCAACAGATCAAAGTGCAGAGAGTGTTTATGGAGTATTTAGTCATGGAAGGAATATCAACAACACACCCTGCCACCACCCCTAAAGCTCAGGGAGCATCGTGGAAGAAGGGGTGGAAATGTAGTAAGATGAAGGAACTGCGGAGGACCAAGGGAAAAAGTATGTTTTGCAAATGAGAGCACCTCTGAACTCACTCGTGAACCTGCAGAATTTGTCATTCCCTACATAAGATCTGCATCAGGTCAACGCTGGAGAAACTGAGGTGCTATTGATAGCAGATGGCTTATGGAAAAGAGAAAGTCAGCTTTCTTTAAGGTTATGGCATCTTGGTTGATTAACCATGCTCTAGTTGAGGGCTCCACACTTACAGGCAGGACAAGTTGCATTCAGTGGGCTAAGAAAAAATAAAATAACTAAGAGGAAATAGAGCATAGAAAAGAGATATGAGAGGATAGGGTGTATGTATCAGGAAGAAGCTAAAGGGATGAGTTGGTGGTAAATATGGTCATTGCATGTATGCATGAAATTTGTAAATAATTATAACATATTATATTTAAAATTTTAGATAATAATGAATAAAATTTAAAACAAAAAAGTATATTTATCTAATTCAGTTGTAGAGCTGTGTCTTAGTGTCATTCTCTATGTATACAAAACAAAAACAAGCCAACAAATGAAGTTCTTTTTCCATTTCTCAGTATCTGGCCTATTTCTCTTGGCCACTCACTTATTTAGAAGTATCTGAAATTCCCAGGGAAAAATATGCAGCTTGTTTCCTCCATGGATTTCTTGTGAGTCTGGTAAAGAAGCCAGATATAATTCACAGCTTGCACACTAGGGTATAGCTGAAAATAAATGTGCGTATTTTTCCATGTGATCTTTTTCAATGTCTCTCTTTATTGTATGACATATGAAAATGTCAATGAAAATTATCAAAATAGAAAATATTTTATGAAAGTCATATAGTGTTCATTTGCATTACATTTCAGTTGAGCATTATAGTGACTCAAGGCATGTTTCATCTCTGTCTAGTTCAGTTCCAATGATACTTCCTGGAAGCCCTATGGCCATTGGAAAAGTCATATTCAGTGTTTGCCAGTAGAGACTGGGGCCGGACAGAACCCGCACCCCAGTGATAGTGTGGTTTTCTGAGTATGGAGAAACAGCACAGACACCTTCATGTTCAGAAAATGTTATGAAAAATATAAGTAGGGAACAAAAATGAGGAAAAAGCATTTGCTAAATCCTGAGTTATGTGAGAAATAATTATTAGTAAGATGTCATAAACTTTACAGTTCACAACACTTCATTGAAAAATAAGTTTTTCCTTTTTCATAAATTTCGTTATTGAAAAACAAAACAAAAAAACATATCTGTAAACTCAGCACTTGGGGGGCAGAGGCCAGGGTATCTTAAGTTATAGGTTAACCTGGTCTACCACATGAATTCTAGGCCTCTCAGGGCTACATGGAGAGACTCCTCCAAAACAACCAGGCAGACAAATAGATAAGCAAACAGATGCAATGGCAGGCAATTCTTCAAAACCCTTACATATCATTTTATGATTACTTAAATGAAATAAACCAAGAAACACTAACCTAGAGAGGAGAATGCAACCTTGAGCAATTATTCCCTGACATTTGGTCCACCTTACCTCTAGAACCAGTTGTTGCAGAGATGGAGATGCTACTGGATGCAGACTGCTGTTGCCACGAATAGGACTATGAAGGCTAATGTAAGCCACAGCATTCTTTTGTAGAACCTTCGCATGATCCTGAGATTAAAAAAAATTAAAAGTTCTACCAATGGTGCAATTAAAGTAACACATTCTATTTTATTAGGATAATAAATATTTTGATGTTAAAATATGATTGTTACCAGAAAGAAGGCGTAAAATTCTTTCTTATATGTTAAGGATAAACCTTTTGCCTCTATATGTAAATTCTTCCTCAATCTTGGTTTATTCTGCTAAGCATAATCAGACTGCTGATAAAGCAGTGCTTAAATAAAGTAATCATTTTAAGAGAAAGGAGCTGAACGGTTAGTATAATGTTCAGTTCAGTTTGCAGAGCATGTTAGATAAGGAATTTTCTTCAATGATAGTGTCTAATGCTATAGTCATTGAATTAGAGAACATAATTGCTGGGCTTCACTGGTTAAGGCTGACAGAATTTTCCTATGAAGTAGTAAACTAATTTGCACCAATAAACTCTTCTTTCAAGGAAAAGTAGGTAAAAAAGAATTGTGACCCTGAAAATATTACCTTATAAAAACCCTCACAAGTGCCATATGTCATGAATGACTCAGTGGCCTGGCTTTGCATCTATTATCCCTGCCCTGCAGTACTGAAGATTTCTGACCCCACGCCTAGGAGAAAGCTCTGAGGGACTTATATCCTTGATTTATCTCTACTTGATGTTGGAAATTTATCTACAAATTGAGATAAATGAGCAATTACTTAAACGTAATTCATCTTTTTAATCAACACATGAATAATTAAAACTCTGGTAATTTCACATACAATATGGTAAAAAATTGTCCATTATTACTTAGATTTTATGAAAACAATTCTCATAACACATGGTCACATAGACACTTCCTTGCAACACATGAGCACACACACATGAGGATAAAGTTACCCCCTCTTACCACATGAGGTAACAGAGACCCCTCTTAACACATGAGGATAAAGTTACCCCCTCTTAGCACATGAAGATATAGATACCTAACACATACACACTTCCTTGCAAAGCATGAGCACAAGACATTTCCTCTTTCAGATAATGTGATTTTCATGAGCGCTGCAGGAGTCATATACTTACTTGAGGAATCGAATCTCAGAGATGTCAAGTTTGTCAAAATAACATGTCTATAATAGAAGAGATCTGAACTCTCATTTCTATACTCTAAAATTTGTAGTATTTCCAGAGGAGCATGTGAAAAATATTCTTCACATAAGGAATAGTATTTTAAAAGATCTTGTTTTAAGAAATGCCATGATTTTTCACAAGGATCAATGTCAGTCCGAAGTCAGTTATCTATTACTTGTGTGGATAAAATTACCACTTAAAGTTTCTTGAGCAGCTAATTCTGTTAACTTCAGCCGGGTTTTCAGGGTTCCCTATGCAAGCAAAATCATGGAGGGCAAGATGGGACATGATCAAAATTTTTTCTTGCTCACTTCCACTCAGGATCAATACAAGAAAAGTGTTTCATTTTCAGAAGGCACCCAGTGCATAAGAGTAAATGGAATGAGCCACCAAGGGTCTACACTTCCCTTCAAATGGACAGCATTTAAATGTTTTTATGAGGCACAGTGTTATAACATATTATATAAAAATTATAGATACATTTTATTAGTTATTGGTGAACTCTGAAAATCCTTGATCATTTTATTACCTTTGTCTTTGTCCATCTACTCATCTAAGAGTTTAGAAGGTAACTAAATTTGTAAATTTGCTCAGATTGAGACACATATACATGAGAGAGCAACCTACATATATATGTACATTTAGTTAAATATATATATGTATAAAATTGAATAGAATTATATCACTTTCGCTCTATCCATTCCTCGCTATACCTCTCCTAAGTACACTTACTTCAGACCCTCATGACACCAATCAATCATTTAAGTTGATAACCTATTTTTCTTTATTATTGCTGCATTCATATGCATGCATATGTATGAGCAAATATGTAAATACTACCTGCTGAGTCTATTTTTGTTGTTTGTGTGTATACAAGCAAGTTTTGTATTCTTTGGAACTTATGTGTCATAGCAGATTTTTTATTTAGTCTGTGGTGAGAAGTTACAGAGTTGTCGAAAGGAACAATGATGTCACAATGTACATAAAATAAACTTATATTTTATGAAGCACAAAATATTCATGTAGCTTGAAAATATGGCCCAATGCATGCAAATTCATATTTATTTAATTTTAAGACTGTGTTGACTGACATTCAAATAATTTTAAGGAATTTTTGCTGTATAGTTCTCTACGAATTTTGGTTTAAAATATATAATCTAGGAGTAATGTAAAAAATGTATTTTATGGATGTGATTTGTGCATACTTGTTGAATAAATATTAATGCAAATTAATTGTGAAAGTTGTAGACACAATGGAGAGTTTTTTAAAACATTCTTTAAGATGTTTTCTTAACATTTATTAGAAAATTGAATCACAATTTCATTGTTTTATAATTATTGAAAACAGTACAAATCTATAAAAATGCAAAAAGGTACTTTTAAATTGTTTTACTGGTCTTGAAGTTATGAAATAAACTTTAAAATTTTGTTTCAAAAGCTACTGTTTTTCTTGCTGGAATTGAGAAAGGTTCAAACATTGCAGTGTCTTCATTAGAAATACACTTTTTGAAAAGAATCTCATCAGAGGGTTCTGCAGGTCTTGCTGAGCTTACTTATGCCAGTAAACGCTTTCTTAGCTTTAAGATTCTTTCCCTTTGTAAAAGTACATCGGGTCTTCCTTTTACTTTCTTTAGGACTATTTTTTATTTCATGTGTATGTGTTCCCCTAAGTAGAATGATCATGTATAATGATCAAGCAAACATTACTGCAAGTGATATGCAGGTATGTGGATGTGAGAGCAAGAAGGCAATGGAGAAAGATTAGTTTTAAATCTTACAGAATCCACAAAGGAATAACTCAAATTTCCTCTTAGAAATTAACAGATAGGAAGCCCTTTTGAGAAGTTCAATATTTATTTGCCTTCAATAATATTAGACTGCAGAAAGGCAACCCACTGACTGGGAGAAAATCTTCACCAACCCCACAACTGACAAAGGTCTGATCTACAAAATATATAAAGAACTCAAGAAACTAGACCGTAAAAGGCTAATCAACCCAATTATAAAATGGGGCACTGAGCTGAACAGAGATCTCTCAACAGAAGAAGTTCAAATGGCCAAAGGACACCTAAGGTCATGCTCAACTTCCTTAGCGATCAGGAAAATGCAAATCAAGACAACTTTAAGATACCATCTTACACCTGTCAGAATGGCGAAAATCAAAAACACCAATGATAGCCTTTGCTGGAGAGGTTGTGGAGAAAGGGGTACACTCATCCATTGCTGGTGGGAATGCAAACTTG